CTCGTTCTTCTTGTTTCTTTTGCTGTTCTTGTATTGCTGCCATTAAGTCTGCTAGGCTGTAGTTTGATTTGCCACTTCTCGTTTCCATTTTTTTTATCCCACTCCTGACACCAGTTTGTTACGCCTCCAGTCGTTAGTTAATTTTCCGTAAATTCGTTCCGACGAAACTTTAGCGACACAAGTCCTTTCTTAAATAAAACTGGTTTATTCTTTCCGAATAAAACTTTACGATACACTTAATTTCAACAGTCGCTCTATAACAAACACTATAATTCACGTCTCACGTGGCCAACAATATTTTGTCCGCACACATTCAATTACTCATTACCTCCCCGTCGCTTCGTGGCCGGTCTTATATATACCAGACTACACTATATCTAGAAAGATCACGAGATTTAAGGAAAAGACATGAAAGTTCGAGAATGACGTGGCGTGATACTAGTCACGTGACCTCGATGTCGCAACACTATAAAACAAAAGCTTAGAATGCATTGGATACCCTCGCTGTTAAGTAAATTTTGGAAGAAGTAGTAAGATGTAATCATTAATCCTACACCAGAACAATGGGTGTAAAACACTTATCATTCGTTAATCATCATGCTATAATTCGAGGTTCGATCCACATAGCGCAGATGCTCCATTGTACAGCTTTGCGTTAAAACACAACCAAGCGTTAGTTAACATACCATGAACATCATAACAGGATGTTTTTGTTATCATTACCTAATATTAATGGTTATCCAATCTAATGTTTTTTATTCACAAGTTGCACAAAACGTTTTGCCGATAATTTTAATTTGCTCAGATGGTATTTTTACATTCCACAAAAATATTGGTCTAATAATAATAGGGGGCGAGTTTGACTTATGGTAGATCTCTGGGTTTTAGAGCTGACAATCTTGGAGCGTATCCAAACGATACCACAAAATATTTCTCGCACTTTAAAATGAGGGTGCGTAAGAAGAGTGACAGCCAATCACTTAGCATGAATGGTGGGTGGTACGGTGCTGCTGACTGGCTGCCTTATTTCTTGTCAGCACTTCAAAATTTTGGACGGCGGCGCAGATAGTTTTAGCTTTGCCATAATATAAAGCAATACTACTAACAATAAATCTTCATCAGTAAAGACAGTCGAGAGATGTGACCAAAGCTACAAAGAAGTGACAGCAAAATAATATATATTGATACATACTTTTTCGATCCTAAATTAAGATTATAAAGTCGATATATGAAAATATATGTAGGAAAAGAGTAATTCATGATTTACCGAACTGATACTTCAAAATATAATGAACAGAAGCAGAAAAATATCCGTTTTAGAAATAAATAAATAAATAGTAAAACATTTTATTTCGTAACTATCATGTATCTAAATACTTAATCTCTAGGACATCGAAACAAAAGAAACTTAAAAGTCCTATATCTAATGAATGAGAAATATATATATACCCAAAGCAAACATTCTAGATATAAGTTCGTTTCACCTTTTCTGTCAAACATCTAAGGAAAACGGCGGTTTTGTAGGCATAGCAGCATTTTAAACAATCCAAGGTTGTAACGCAAGGAATAGATTTTCCAAAGACGACGAAAATGTTAGGCTTACAGATTTTACTGCATGATTGATCATATATTAAAACACATAAACCGTTTTTGAGGTGATTAAAACGTTAATGTAACTGAATACTACAGAAATACCATGAAGCTATTAAAACCTAGCTGGGTTACGCACGATGGTAAGCTTATCAATATTATTATTATTATAATAAGATTTAAAAGTTGTACTTTAGTATTTACACTTTACAGACTTTAATTTAAGCTACTTTTTATTATTAATTCTAATGTTAAGCTTAGTGAGATTATTGTGTTGACTGAAATTTGAGGCCAATTAAATATCTTTATAAGTATAATGAGTATTATTAATATTAATAGTATGGCTAATGAAAATATTTAGCTAATACTAATATATTACTTTATAGTTAGATTATACTTCTAGTAGTAGTAGTTAAGGGTAAAGCACGTAATGACATAACATCACATAGTAATGTCATAGTACTTAGTATAAGTTACAGACTTGCTATTTTTTATATCGTATTAAAACTAATAGTAATACTAACACTAGTAAGAGTATAGTTGTACTACTAAGACTAGTAGTAGGAGGTATAGGCTTAGCCATAGGCTAAGTATAGTGCTAGTGGTAGTAGTCACACTGTGGTACAGTTAAATTGAAATAAAAAATAAAAAACTTATAATCACAAACAAATGATAAACGATGAAGCTTTTAATGTCCACAGTGTTTATCATAATATGCTTTTCCTCTGGCGATTTTAACACTGAGTCAAGTAGAGTCGTTTTTGCTAACCAGTTAGTTCTAGTAGTGGACAAACCCTGCTGAAATGATGTCAAAACTGACTTTATCTTATGATGAACCCAACTGTGTACCAGGTTTGAAAAACAATGTCAAGGTGAAGAAGGTGTGATTATTTTGTTGGAGCCATTGTTAGGAAAATTTTACTACAAACTGTTCTTAGGTCATGGATGATTTATTGTAGAATCTCTAATAAAAATCCACACTGCCAAGTTTAGACTTTTTTTTTTGCTCCTTATTTATATGATATATGATTCGAGTTGCTTGGAAGTAGCTTGCTGATTCATCGTTATTGAGAAGATAGCCATGACCACAGTGTTAACATGACCAAGTTTGAGCCAGGAGAAAAGTATGAATGATCACTTGGTTTACTGAAACAATACAGCAAACTGTGTTCTTCGCATCAAGCCCCAAACAAAAGTATGAATGATCACTTAGTTTACTGAAACAATACAGTAAACTGTGTTCTTCGCATCAAGCCCCAAACAAAAGTATGAATGATCACTTGGTGTACTGAAACAATACAGTAAACTGTGTTCTTCGCATTAAGCCCCAAACAAAAGTATGAATGATCACTTGGTTTACTGAAACAATACAACAAACTGTGTTCTTCGCATCAAGCCCCAAACAACCTTCTACTCCACTTTCCAGAATTACCCAGTCTCCACCCACCTAGCAAACTTGTCGAAAGTTCTCTACTTGATTCAGTGTTAAATTGTGTTGGAACAAATGGTTTGATGCCATGAAGGTTGTAAAACATCAAGTGTTCAAAATGAATATCACGTAACCGATCTAAAGGAACGTATTATTCTCATTTTAAAATCCTATTCTAATTTGAGAAAAGCTTGTTTGTATGTTTGTCTTCTAACTCCTCCCAGGCTTTTGCATTTGGGCCTGTCAAATGTGGTTTAATAGTTCAGGATGTGTCAAGAATATACTATTTTTCTTCTAAAATGAATAGATTTCATAGCTCCAGTGCTGGCTAAATATAGATCAGTCAGTGTGGGTGGCCATTAGGGGTACTGATGGGATTTTCCTCTTTCACTGCATGGGGTATACATACAGTATATACTTTCAATAATTACTGACATAGTTAGGACAAAAACAGAAACACTGCTAATATTTATAACTGGTAAAACATTAATTATATAAGTGCATATCATTTTTAAATCCCATCAGTCATTTGAAGGATTTCTTTTTCACACATTGTTTATAAATACATTCAAGATAGACTTATACTCAGATGAATTTTCAGTCTTACGTTACTTATTGTTTTTTGATAAAAAAAAAACTAAAGTAGAAAGTAAAATGTCGTTTAAATAATCATGCCCAGTAGACACGAATCATTTTTTTTTCTTATGTACATTCAATCTTTATATTGCCACTGGCATGTTTCTAAAAAAAAGAAAAACTTTCATAAACCTCTCAACCTACATCACAGAGATACATCCGCTAATCATATTAACTTGCAACTAATTCGTGTACATGTTTCTATGTATGTTGATAGTTTGAACATTCTAGCTTTGATAGCATCGTATAATTGGTAGTATCAAACCTTTGGTTCAACGCTTTAAAACTTTTAACTATAGAGTTAAATTCTTTGATGTTCATAGGACTTTATATACATTTTTTAGTGTAAGTCTAAAAATACAAATATCAGTATCTGATATCATTTATATATGAGCTAAAACTAAGTCATCTTCCACTTCATCCTTCAGTAGCCACGATGATCATCATCAGTGTAACATAAACTGAGTTTTTCACTCCAATATGCTTATAGCTGTCCAACAAAGGTAGAAGCACGTTTGAACTAACGATAGTTATGACCCACCAGTCGTCCATTCCACAAGTTATAATTTACAGAACAGTACTTGTGCCTAAGATTCCTAAAAACAACTTTGGATCCAGACTTCCAAAACTTATATTCATAACCTTCAGTATTATAGGGGTTTCTGTGATTTTTAAATAATGAAAATAACAAAAATGTTCACACACCATTGGATCCCACAGTTGCAAATTAATATACTTACACTGCAAGTTTAATTATGTCATTAATATTTAATGAAATACAATTAAAAATAGTACCTGTAAATCGACCTTTTGCTCCACACGACATTCCCATTGGAACAATGTTAACAAATGACAGTGATTGATATCAAATTATTGCTTTTATTGGTAACCTGATACTGAGTGACACGTGTGGCAAGGCAAGATAAAATTTAGTCCCAGTAAAGTCTATCAATTTCAAACTCATACATGTGGATTCATATTATATGGATAAATTAAATTACAAATGTCAACAACCAAATGTTAATAATGAAGTATGAGCTTACCTATGAAAGTATAGGAGAGATTTTGTAATCACATTGATTGTAAACTTGAAATATCCTGATTGACAGATACGTACATGTAGTAAGCTCTACCTGTTCTATATCATGTCATGATGTAACTGATACATCGTTCATACCACTTTCATCATAGATGGTTATAGCAAATTAACTTATGTCAAATTAAAATTTTTCTAGATTTTATTACCAGTGTATTTTTTCTTAAACTGTTGTAGCACGTTTTTTTGCTCTAGCCACACCCAACAATATGACACGTAGAAAAGTGTTGTCAGGACATCATATTGTCTGTTTATGTCTAATGATATGACATAAAGCAACTTGTTGCCAAGCCAACATGTAGTCTGTTTACATTTCCTCTTTGTTATTTTTTTTACATGCTGTCGGTTCGAGCTGGTCAGACATATCTATATATTTGTTTATACATTATGTAATCTGCACCACAAAGTTTATTTTATAGCTTTGTTTCTACAAATTCAATAGCCAGAAATAATTTTAAATGATTTTTAAAGTTTTGTTTGTGTATTTTCAAATAGTAAATGCTTCTGGGTCCAATGAAACCTCCAGGCCAAAGTAGAGCATGAAGAGAGCTGTCATTTGATGTATCTCTGATCCTTATTGGCCCGGCCAATTTAAACCAACAACCTGTTTTTGGTTTTAACATTCACTCACTGGTTTCTGACAAATGGCGGAGGACGGGCTTAGCTGTCGTCATGATGTTTTTAAGGCCAATTTACAACTAGTAGGAATATGACTAAGTAGTCATATTTTTCATAGCGACTCTTTGCTTGGAATGTGTATACTTGGAGACTAATATCTGAAGTGTCATTGCTTTAAATAAACTCTCTGGATGAAAAATGAAGTTAATTTAATATAGTGATCAAAATCAAATAGGCTTGGCTAAATACATTGAAAGTTGCATAATTATATTGATCACATTAAAACTAGCTTGTAATTATTTGCAGTGCACTTGCTTTTAATCAAATTGTTTCTATGGAAATAATGAAATTTTATTTTACGAGGGTGCAGAGTAATAAAAAAAATTAAGGCTGTTGAAACTATTTTAGCTGGCATTCAGTTACCAGTCTCTAAAAGATTTGATCATTGGCTATTTGGGGTATTTTCCATTTGGTGCACACCAACAGATTGTTTTGAAAATAACACCAGTAATGCAATAATTAATAATATAGCACTATATGATATTTATTTAGCAAATTCTGCAATAGTAAACAATATTTTTTGAATAAATCTTCATCTTTGTTTCTCCATACAAATATACAAAGATAAGATTCAAGCATTTGGCAACGAGTTCCACATTGACACTTATTACCGTTGGTGGGCACCAAAAGGAAAATATTCACTATTTGCAGTGAGGAAGGAGTCATCAGGAGGTATACATGGAGGGGGACTTTCTTATTAAGTGTATATGTAGTAGGGAGCATCTAAAAACAAGGACAGGAATTTACTTGCCAGGTGCTGAAGTACACGACATTTTAGAGCACGTCGATTATTTAGATGCTGATACTAAGGAACGTTTTTTTTTGTATTGTGTGTAGAAGTGAATGTTGTTGGAAATTGTAAGGCAAAGAAGTTGCATAAAAAAAATATGAAAAACTCCTTCAGTAGCTTAGAGACAGAAATAAATGTATGGTTCTTTTGGGAGTGATCCCTTGGGTTAGATGAATAATTCAGCAGAATCCAAAACTTAAATGAATTGTTATCAGGGGTATGCTTAGAGCTTGGGCAAAAAGGAGTTCTCAGATATAAGAGCATAGTTTTAAATAACAGTTTTTAACATTAAGTCTGTCAGTTTTAATGATGAACACAACAGATTCACGAATAAGCTTAGTTGCTGTTTTTCTAGTGCCCTAATTGTCAGCGATTGAAACTTTGTGTTTTCTTACTTACATTAACGATGTGGATAGAGCAGGGTAGGAATAGTTGTTGACATGCTCATATTATGTGAAATCTCATTTTTTGATAACTTGCATTAAGTGTAATATTTTTTCCCAAATCTGCTTCCAGGTGGTACCCATTTTCATAAATTTTGGCTGGCCTGACTGCCAAAGTGTTGTTGGCATCCCACATTTGAAACTAAGAATGAAAAGACTTTAAAGTGCCATAGTTACGATGGGTTACCATAACGTGGTGTGGTTAGACTCAAGAAACCTATCCTTAGAATTTTCAAAATGTTGTAAAATAGACCCCCACTAAAATAAAAAAATAATAAGACCTTATTTTATAACATTTTGTTCATAAATTGCTTCCTTAATGGAGAAATGATACTTCTTTCCTTGTTAATAAAACTTCTAAAATTGTGATAAAGTGCGTTTAATGCAGAATTTCTAAGTGAGTCTTCCTAGTGGAGAATCATTGTGATATTTCAGAAGAGAAGTGACTTTTTCTGCTGGAGAATTCAAGCATATGCTATAAATTGAATTATTCTGTAACTGAAGGAATTGCAAGTCCTTTGTATGGAGTTTGTTGCATACAAATTTGTAGGAATTTTGTAGCAACTGTATCTTTGAAAGTTACATAAATATTTATTTACTTTGGTATGAGTATAAAGTGATGAAAAACATTGAAAATCATGGAGAAAGTTTGAGAAATAAAATGAAACATGAGGATGTAAGTTAGAGAAAGAAAGAGATAGACTTGTTCACCAAGTTATGATGGAAGATCCCGTGAGAAATACAGAAACACATCAAACTGTATGACAAGATCCTGTGAGAAATACAGAAACACATCAGACTGTATGACAAGATCCCGTGAGAAATACAGAAACACATCAAACTGTATGACAAGATCCCGTGAGAAATACAGAAACACATCAAACTGTATGACAAGATCCCATGAGAAATACAGAAACACATCAGACTGTATGACAAGATCCTGTGAGAAACACATCAAACTGTATGACAAGATCCCAAGAGAAGCTAGGAACAAACCTGAAATACAGAAACACATCAAACTGTATGACAAGATCTGATGAGAAGAAGTTGGGAGCATTTTTGTAACAGAGAAGCACATTGTTCAGCTGGACAAGATCCTGACCGAACAGCTGCTCAGAGAGTAGTATTATGCATATGTATATAAATCCAGATACATAACATTTATTTATCAAGTATATTATGTGCAGAAATATAATAATGGAACATAAAATAACTTTTGTTTTATTAATATATATAAGTATAGGCTATTGAAAAGCAAAATAAAAAAGCTTGATATGGTAAGGGTTAAGGCTAATAAACTTAAATGCACACAAAGGATGACATGCTCCGGAATCATGGAAAACAAGATGAGTTAATAGTTTGGTTCTAACGACCACAACAAGTGTATGATCATTTGAGCTAGACTGTTAACTTGATACCATCGATTAGTGTCGTGTAAAATAAGTGATTAATCAAAATCATGATTAAATTAATCAATGTTACAAAAATAATCAACCAATTAAAATAACTTGAAATATTGTTCATTGTGATTTATAATTAGTTAATTCAAGATTGTTCAGCTTAATCAAAATTAACGTTTCTTATTATTACTATATTCAATAATTTAAACTATCTAAGTTTCCTTTTATGTGAATTATAGAAGTTCTCGTAATAAGATTTTAAAATTGAAGGTTTGTTGTTGGTGTGTGCTTATAATATTTCATTGATATCAGTGAGTTTTGATGTAATTATGCATACAATGATGGGACTTAGTTATTACAGATCATCAGAAGAATATGACAGCCACTTGGCTGTTCAAGGCCAACTTTTACCCACAAAAACGGGCAACATTTCTATTTTTTCACTTGACCACATGTTCAACTTTTTTTCAGTTTTAATCTTCTTTTTTGTAAGCAACAGTGCTAATAAAGAATATCTAAGCTATGAGAATGGGCTTGGACAATCACATTGTATTTTTCAGGAATGCTCAACTGGAGGTGATATAATTAATTTGAGTAGAGACAAGAATGGGACTCTTCGAAGTGTTATATATATATATTTATAATGCTAGTAATTATAGAAACACTAAAAGTAAGATTTGGAAACTGTTCTTCAGAAAAGAGCCAGCCATGATATAATGTGTAGCATGCCATAATATGAATCTGCCTTACATTGCCAGAAAGTCAGTGGGTGTATTATAAGAATGATGATCAAATCCCACTGTTTGATTAACTGTAATTAAATAGTGACATTTGACTATATCTTTTATAATGCACCTACAGCCTTTCAGCCGTGGGGGCATTATAATGTGACGGTCAATCCCACTATTCGTTGGTAAAGGAGTAGCTCAAGAGTTGGCGGTGGGTGCTGTTGACTAGCTGCGTTCCCTCTAGTCTATCTCTAGAATATAATTAGAATTGAAGGTAGTTGTTTCTTTGCACGGATATCCAGAACAGACAGATAAACAAATCTTCAGATAAAGTATTTATATTTTTAAATTATTAACTTGTGAAATAGGTTGGATTTTTATGTTTTTGTTAGATTAGTACTATATGTAGATATTAATTGTTTTTCTGTTGGGGAGTTAGTGACCTTGACGAGATTATTGATATTTTGAACTATGTTTTAATATGTGTTACGTAGTATGGTTTCAATAGAATACCTCTTAGTCAATGTAGTATTTTACTATGCTAGTAATAAGTTAATTAGCATGTATGTAATCGTGATAGCATAAAATTTAGTAGTTAGCTCAATGTTTGAAGTTAAGAACGAAATTAAAGGTATTGTACATTGAGGATTCATAACATCACATTTGTATTTGTGTTGACCTCATTTTTATTATAAAAATGTATTGTCAGAGAACTTAATCTGGTTACATTTTGAATTCAAGCCATTAATGTCACATGGTTATTAATTTTTCAGGTCATCCCATTTTCTCAGTGGACATCCATCCTGATGGAACACGGTTTGCAACTGGTGGTCAAGGTCAGATATATGTAGATGTGATGAAATACAATTATTACGTGCAAAATACTTAAATATATCTAGTAACTTGTATAATAAACGAAGAGAAATCAGTGTCTAGTTATAAAATACTGTTTGTAAAACAAATACCAGGAAGTAACTCGTATATAGTTGGACCTTAAGCTTTTGCATATATGTTGTGTTAAAGTTGATGGTTTGATGCATTGAGTAAAAGTTATACAAATTTTGTTTTGAAGTTGAGTCAACTAGGAAAGCTAGAAATGAAATTCTAAGCCTTTTTATTATTGCTTTGATATTTTCTGCTTCAGAAACAGGTTCATTACAATGAATGTTAAGATCTATAGAATTTTGTGGTATTTCACTTTTCCACTTTTAATCAGCCAATCAGGAAATGCTTGTTTGAAAGAAATGCTACCTAATTGGTTGGATGAGTTAGCCAGTAGAAGTGAATATGCCATTGAAATGTTTTAGACATTCTCCCTTCAAACAGAAAAAATGTCCTAATTATGATGATTTAAATCACTTTTGTCTTTGGACAAAAAAAAAAGTTTCCTTCTTTGCTATTCTTAAAAAATTTTGTAATTTCTCAGATGTAAAATTTAAAAAAATCCAGAAGAAGGAAGAACTTTTGAAAGTGGAAAAAGACTGATGTATTTTATCTTCCTACAGGTGCTGATGCTGGTAGAATCGTCATCTGGAATATGGCACCAGTCACGACAGAAGATGATGAAAAAAATGAAAATATTCCAAAGATGTTGTCACAAATGGATAATCATCTTGGTATAATCCATATTTAATTGTATTATAAGTTTCTTAAATACAGTTACATAATCAAACAAATACATAAAAAAAATTTGTATTGATATTTTTGCTGTGATAGATCACATGATTTTATTTTTCCCCAAGGGAACACCATAGAACTAGTTTTGTACATACTCAGTCTTCTTATTATGGTTGGAGACGGCTTGAATGGGTAATGAAGAAAAAACTTTAATATAGGTTTAACATAACAGCAAATGTACAACGTTTCGACAAGGTACCTGATGACAACAAAACCTTGTCGAAACGTTGTACATTTGCTGTTATGTTAAACTTATATTAAAGTTCGATGACGAGGAACCCACTTTGAGACTAATAATGGTTGGAGACGGCTTAGGAATGGGAAATGAAGAAAACTTTAATATAAGTTTAACATAACAGCAAATGTACAATGTTTCGACAAGGTAACTGATGATAACAAAACCTTAAAGTTCG